TTTTTTTTTTTTTTTTTTTTTTTTTTTTTTTTTTTTTTTTTTTGCTGTACTTATAATCCTAAAGTTGAGAAAATTCCTGCTATTTCTTTCACTCTGTCTTGGATTTTTTTTCTTCTTTCCTCTAGTTGGTGTTTTCTTCCTGTATTTACTGTTTCTGAGTTTAATGTTGAGCTTTCCTGTTCTATGTAGGATTTATATTGCTTGAATTAGAATTTGGTATCTGGGCCAGTATTATCTATCCTTGCTGGTCTTCAATACTGGAGGAGTGCATTTTGGAGACTAAATTGGATGGATCTGACATGGCTGAGTGCCATTGTAGTTGGGGCCGGCTGCCTTGTTTTGGGATACTGTATTCGTTCGAAGTATCCTCCTCGCATCTTTATCAAAGCCAAATTAGCCAAAAGCAACGAATCCAGCAGAAGTGGGAAGAAGGGCAAGCCTAAAGAGCCACTGGAGATCGAAAACTTGGCTGACATTCTCGAGGACTTCAAGATGGTCTGTCTCTGACTCTCTGTCTATTTCTGTTTCTCTTTGATGACTCTAAGGCGTTCTCTTTCTCTTTCACTCAAAAAATGCAATAACACTTCATGTGTCTCTGCAGGTTTTAGTCGTGAGAAATGATTTGAAAATGGGAAAAGGAAAAATTGCTGCCCAATGCAGGTACTTTTTTACCACCTTGTGGTTTCTCTTTCATTCCCTGATGTTTTGAATGCTAACAATCATAGAAATCTTGAATTTTACTGCTGCTTGTATTATGTACATGCCCGAGTAGCTTTTTGTTAAAACTAGTCCCAAGAATTGGGCATATAGTGTTTAGGAGTTTAGGTTAACAATGCACTGCACACCTGGTATATTAAACTTCCCAAAATGCCTATAACAAATTTTACTAGAATAATGACTATAATAACATGGCTTTGGATAATAGTAGTTTTGAAGTAGAAGTTGAAATAATGCAAAATTTTGGATGATAATATTGCTCCTATTTTTTTTTTTTTTTTTTTTGAAATTTGGCACTGTTAAAATCGAAAAAAATTATTGATGCATGGAATCTACATAACTACAGCAATCTTGTAACGCTCTCTCATCTCTCCCTTCTCTCCCTCCTTCCTACCATCCTGCCTAATCCAAATTTGTCTCACTATGATCTAGCCATTGCTTCAGGGTGGTGGTTCGTAGTTGTAAGGTTCTTGATTTGTTCTTTTGTATTGGTCTAGAAGAGGATTTTATTTTCATGGAAGATGAGGCTTTTCACCAAGTCCTTCCTCTTTCTTTATCACATTTGAGGTTGGCTCAAAATTTCCTTAGTTTAATTATTGCATTAGCCAATCCATAAATTCTTCCTCAAGCTTGGTCGTGATGGGGCTTTTCGTTTGGGGCATCTTCGTATGTCATTAGGATGGTTTATGAGTTTTGTTGTTTGGCCGTCATCAGGTGGTAGAAATTCATTCATGTGCCAATGGGATTTTTGAAAATGGATTGGCCTTCTTTTTTGGGAAATGTTAAGTGATTTTCTTAAGCCATTCCTGTTTGAGATGTTTTCAAGTACCCACTCATTCCAAATGAACCATAGGAAGCCCTAATAAAATAAAATTACTTGGTGAGGAAGTATAATAATCTTCCCTAGAGTAAAAGATCTTCATGAAGTTTGCAGATTCCATTTTGTATCTTTTCCGAGATCAGTGACATGAAACTTGATAGGGGCCAACAATGCTGGATTTGCAAAGCAAGAGGTCCTTCTAGGATCTTTGCAAACTTTCACAAGTAAAACTAACTTAGCAATGATTCCAACCAAGAGCTGGTTAGAAGGATGAAATACTCTTATATCGAATTTGGAATCTATGATGGTCACTTTTAGATCTCTAACCGACTCACTCCGGAATTAGCTTGATCAAGACTAATCCAATGAATCGATTTAACTTCAAATCTAAAGCAAGGTTTGAAAAAAGAAAAATAACACCCGAAGGGTTTCCAAGAAAACACAACGTTTTTTATTCCACCATGATCAATATTACATGCCTTTAATTAGACCAAAAAGAAAAAGATAATCCAAACATAATGGTAGTTCATCTATCAACAACCGACTACCAATAAAAGTTATTAAATAAAAATTGAAGAAAATAAGACATGACATAAATAGTCTTAAATGGTAGTTCAACTACCAAAGACAAAAAGTCTTCAAATCACTTCCCAATACACTCCATTCTTTTCTTGATTTGATATACTAATATTATAAAGATTTTTGGACTAAAAAAATCCCATTGTCCTCTCATTTTTTTAATGAATTACATAAAGAAATGTAATTTCATATGGACATGCATTATCAAGAAGGGAATGAACCCTTTGATTTGAGGTCAAATCTTTTTAAAGAGAGAGGGATGATATGAATCCAACACTAAACTAATCCTACTAATCATGTACCCAAAGTAGCGATTACAAGAAGTAGGGTAAAGAAATTCAAGTAGCGATTACAAGAAGTAGGGTAAAGAAGATTCAAGAGGCCTTTACATTACATCTTTAAAGGCTAGCTAATGTACAAGTTGAAACAAAGATTTTTTAGAACAAAAATCTTTATAATATTAGTATATCAAATCAAGAAAATAATGGAGTGACAATAAACACTACTTGACATTGAAAAGTGATTTGAAGACTTTGTGTTTGGTAGTTGAACTACCATTTAAGACTATTTATGTTATGTCTTGTTTTCTTCAATTTTTATAGTTGAACTACCATTTAAGACTATTTATGTTATGTCTTATTTTCTTCAATTTTTATTTAATAGCTTTTATTGGTAATGGGCAATTGGTAGTTACCATGTTTGTATTATCTTTTTGGCTTATTTAAATATACGTAATATTCAAGTTGGAAAATCATGTGAAATAAAAAAACTTTTGTTTTTATTGAAATCCTCTAGGTGTTATTTTTATTTTTTTCAAACCTTACTTTAAGTTTGAAGTTAAACCGATTTTGGAGTTTGTCGTCTTGGGATTTAAGAGTGACCATCATAGATTCCAAGTTCAATCTAAGAGTTATTCATCCTTTTAACTAGCTCTTGGTTGGAATCATTTGTTAAGTTAGTTTTATTTGTGAAAGTTTGCAAGGACCTCTAGCTTTGCAAATTCATCAATGGTCGACGCTTATCATTTGATTTTTTTTTTTTTTTTTTTTTTTTTTTTTTTTTTTTTTTTTTTTTTTTTTTTTTTTTTTTTTTTTTTTTTTTTTTTTTTT